CTTAGACATGGCTTCTAGATGTTGCCATCCAACATGCCCTTGCGCCTTCGCTCGACGCGCCCAACGACCAGGCACAGGCACAGTCACAAACACAAGTGCACAGATCAATCGGTGTGATAGGTACGGCGTGGTGACATGATCGGCATCTAGAAGTCCTGGTCGTCGTTTCCAGCAATGATGACGTTGTTGACCTGTGCGTTTGGTGTCAGTAGTTGTTTGCAACAAGGCAGTGATCCAGCGGTGAGGATAAACGGTAACACAAAGCGAAAAAAGGGAAGGGTGGTGTTTGTTCGCGTGTAACGACAACAATGCAACCTGCATAAAGCGCACCACCCGTGCGACGCTTTATCTTCGGCTTCCCCGCTTCCCCGGCCTTGCAAATCGATCCAGAAGACGGACGCAAGGGAGGGAAAGTGAGCAAAGCGAGGTTGCACAGACGGGAGGGAAGCGGAAGGGATAGCGGGAAAGGGAGTCACACCAAGGGTGTGCGGTGCGACAAACGACAATTCGTTACGGAACAAGGGCGGGAAAGTTACGATACGTACCTTGAGTACCATACGGCACAGCTGTGTAGCGAGCAACAGTTGTTGCCGCTTCGAGATCAAGGGATCGATCACGAAGTGCTCCTTCATATCTGTGATAACGCCACGTTAGCACAATCTTCGGTAATTCAGCCACCAATGAGGCCCATGACGTTGTGCATAACAATGACAGCAAAGCAAAGGTCTCAGATGACTCCTGCTCATCTCCACTTGTAGTTGCGTTCATGCCAGCGCAGCAAGTGGCGTGGCGTGGGGTAATGCACCGTACCCCACGGGGGCGTTGGATGCGGGAACTGAATGCGGGAACTTGGATGCATCACGGGTCTCGGGTCTCCCGGAGATAGTCCGTACTGCAGCTATGCTTGATAGCGGTGAGGCAGCCGGTAATCATAGAGACAGCCGTGGGGAGATGGTTGGATAACAAAGAGCGAAGTGCACTTACCGTTGCTTCCCGTCTGCATGCAGTCAACACCTAACCTGGTGTTTCCCTCCTTGGCTTGTCGGGACTTGATGTTGGCGAGGGTTTCGATGGGGCTAAGACCGGAGTTCTCAGCCAGCGCCATGGGGACGGCGTCAAGGGCATCGGCGAATGCGCGCATCGCGTATTGCTCGAGGCCAGGGCTCTGCGAAGTGTTAGTTGTTGTTATCGCGGAGCTCCGTAACGCTTACCTTGACTGCGGCATCCTCGACTGCGAGCGAGCATGCTACTTCCGCAGCTCCTCCACCGTATACGATACGGTTGTCGCGCACCAAGTTTCGGACGACACAGAGGGCATCGTGTAGTGACCGCTTGGCCTCGTCGATGATCATCTTGTTGCTACCGCGAACGAAGACAGTGACAGCCCTTGTGTTCGCACACTCCTCAATGACCAGCATCTTGTCGCGAGTGGTTCCGAAGGTCAGTTCCCGGACGATGCCAGCCTTTCCTAGCTTCTCTGCGCTGAGGTCCTCGAAACGGGGAACGATGCGTCCGTTGGTTGCGATGGCGATCAGCTCGATCTCTGGGCCTCCTACCCACCGTACAGCAGGCAGCTTGTTTGTGAGAAGAAGATGGTTGGCCTCGTCATCGAAACCCCACTGACATATTACTACGTTGGCGCCCGTGTTCTTGATCTGCTCAATCATCTCGGTGAACTTGTTCGACTCGTAGTTTTGTAGCTTCTTGAACTCCTCTACGGTGGTGATGTCCAACTTGTGCTTGGTCTTGGGCTTCGGTGGCTCGAATGCGCATGTGAGGATGGCGAGTTTGGCGTCCTTGACTTCCGACGGCATCTGGGGATGCGAGAAGTCCTTGTCTATTATGACACCCTTAACAAGCAATGTGTCCTCGAGCGATCCACCGACCTTGCCGTCTACCTTGATGAGCTCGAAATCGACGTCTTTCCGCTCGAGATCTGCGACCGAAAGCACAGCATCTACGGCGATCTTGGCGAACTGGTCGTGCGCCTTGGAAACGATCTTGCTGCCCAAACTTGTCTTTGCGACCTTGAATAGCTCTTCGGTGTTGTCCTTGGAGAAGTGGATCTCGTCGCTGACCTCGTCGAGCTTGGCCACGGCAACCTCGCAAGCCTGGTCGTACCCGTCTGCTATCCTGATGGGGTGGATGCCCTTGTCGATAAGGTCTGCTGCCTGCTCGAGAAGCGCGCCCGCCAAGACTACGACACCAGTTGTTCCGTCACCAATCTCGTCGTCTTGTGATTTGGATAGTTCGACTAGTAGCTTCGCGACGTGGTTGGAGATTTCCATCTGGGAAAGAATGGTGGCGCCGTCGTTTGTGACCGTGATGTCTCCGTCGGGCGAAATCAGGATCTTGTCCAGTCCTCGTGGTCCCTAGTTTCATAAGTTCATGTCCTCTTCTCCTCGACTCGGGCGTTGGTGCGTACCAGAGAGCTCTTGACGATATTCGCGACCGTCTTGGCCGCGAGGATGTGGGACTTGACAGCATCGTTGCCGTGTTGCCTCTGCTTCTTGCCTTGACTGTCCCGGATATTAGCTGCTGCCTCTTACTGAGCCTTGGACCCTCTCCATATCGTTCCACGTACTCTCTGACAATGATGAACGGCCTGCCCGATTCATCCTTCATCACCTGCGCTGTACCCCACTTTGTCAGTCGTTGATTCACGGGCGATTCGTAGTAGATTCGGACGCATACCGTTGGAAAGGTCGACCTCTGTAATTGTATAACGTTAGCACGTATATCTCACTACCGGGGGTTTGGGAGTTCGGAGCTGTTGCTGCCCGCACTTACGCATCTTTGCGGTGTGAAAATGCCCGCTGAAGTAACAAATGCACGACTCCGAAGAAGTATCAGACTACAGGTACACACTAGGAGGGAATCCCGGGTATGTTTGGTAGTGAGGGGTGGTGGGGTATGGCCAAACAGCTGCCATGTCGGTCTTGAAATTTCCCCAGAAGGGCTTGGCATCAGGGTGCACGGCCGCGAGTCGCGAACGCGCCGTCCGCCAGCTCCAAGTCTCCGATCTGCCCTGACGCTTGCTGCCCCGAGCTGCCACCACACCCATCCCAGCGCATCGCGGGCTTCCAATCGCGCTTATCCGAATCGTCTCGAGCTCCACGAAGCTATCTATCCGCGTTATCTTCAGTTCCTATTCATAGCGACAGCGATTCGACATGCCTCGTGAGTCGCGCCCGCCTGCCCAAACAATCACCATACGCGTAATATCCAGCTGCTAACTTGCGCAGCTGCTCTTAGCGATCACGGGTCCTCGGACGCCGAAGACGTCCCCGCGCAGCCAAGAAAGGGAAAGGGAAAGCAGCCGGTGCAGGAGGATCCCATAGACGACGAAGAGGACGAGGATGACAGTGAGGTGGGAGAGGACGAGTACGCGCAAATCCATATGTACATGGATCGCATCGTGCTGACAATGCGACAGATACGTCGTTGAGGCGATTCACGGCCACAGATTCACAAAGGTGCGCGCAAACACCACCTCTTTCCCACGCGCAAACACTGACAACACCAGGGCGTCCTCCAATTCGACGTGAAATGGGAAGGCTACGACGACCCCAAGGACCGGACATGGGAGGCAGAGGAGAACATGTTCGTTGCGGTATTGCTCTGTACTAGGTTGAGACTGACAGTCGCAGGGAGGGAGCCATTGACGTGCTGAACGAGTACTTTAAGAAGATCGGAGGCCGACCAGAACCCAAGGGCCAGAAGCGGAAGGGACGACCATCGACCGCCGGCATCAAATCCGAGTCTGGCACCCCGTCATCCTCCACGAAGCGCGCCAAGGCAGACAAGCCAGAGAAGAAAGTGGTAGAATGGAGCCCACCACCAGGCTCATGGGAACACGACGTCGACCACATCGACACGGTGGAGCAAACGAAGGACCCCAAGACGGGCCAACTGGAGAAGTTTGCATACTTGGTGTGGACAAATAAGCAAAAGACACAGCACCCTCTCAAGCACGTCTACCAAAAGTGTCCACAAAAGGTGCGTTTGAATGCCTTCTGGATATCATTCACCATACTAACATCTCGCAGATGCTCGAATACTACGAAAGCCACCTAGTCTTCACCGAGAACGTGGACGAGCCTCTAAACGGTGACGACACCAACGACACAGTGATGAACGACGACTAATCCGCTTAAGTCGAGTAGTACCCGAAACCGAAATTGCCGATCAAGATATTCCCTTCCGGTGAAGTTCGATTCGACTTCGCCCCCGCGATGCCATACGCGAAGATGCTACCCAAAAACTTTCGTTCCCCGACATGGTCACCCACCACACCTCTTCTATCGTTCCTCCAGTCGCCGACCGTATCTCCCATCACACCTCCTCCTCCTCCTTTGCGCAAACCACCAACCGTGTCCCGGTTGATACCCACGGAACAGTTTTCATCTTCCAATCCTCTGATGCGCTTGGGGGCTGGGGAGGACCCTGATCAGCTGCAAAAGGGTACACATGTGTCTGCTGGGTACGGTGTATAGGCACCGAATGTATTATAAGAACTTCTTTGGATAGGTACGGAAAGGGAATACTGGAGTATCAAGGCTTCGTTCAAGCGGTTCCAGTTTCGCATTGTGTATCTGGTATCGTTCGGAATTTACAACGTTCATACTTGCACCCAAATCCTAACGTGCAACGCCTGGTGAAAACGATCATGTGCTTCGCAAGTCTATGCGACCAAGTATATGCACTACTACAATTTGTAGGCGATGTTCCCAATCTAAAGCATCTCTCCCAAGTTATGACCAAAGGTTCCAAGTCAAATCAAGTCGAAATAGTTCACAGACGAGGCAATCAAGAGAAATGGTTTTAAGTAACTTTGAGTATGTGATTCGTTCCATTCCATTCCATGCGCAATTGTATATACAAACATAACAATAAGCTCCGTAATAACGTTGCGGGTATCCCAATTCGGCCCAGTCCATACCATGCCAATTCAGCATGACTTCTTCAATCTTCAATCGCATTATCTCGTTCTCGTTCTCTTATAAGTTCAAACTCCAAGGCGCAAGTCGCATAGCCATGCAACCGCAACTGCCTGTAACGCCGATGTAAATGCGAACCACATCGTCCTTCTCTCTGGTGATGTGTTGTCTTGTGTTGTACTGTAGTCATAGCGTCGTTAAAAATGTCTCTTTTGTATCTCTTCTGTATCTCTTTTCTCTTTGTGTATCGTTGCTCCGTGTTGTGTGGTGTTGTGTGATGTGACGAGCCGATTACACGTTCTCAGTCATATCCGAAACAGACGACGCAGTGCCGCCGACAGCCATGCGCGTCTGCAGGTAGTAGATGAGGTATGCGATGGCGGCGATGAGGATGAAGAGGATGAGGATGATGAGGAAGATGACGATGTTGCGCTGCATGGTTGCGGTTGGGGGTGGTGGGAACGAGGGGGTCTCGTTGGTTGGAGTGGTTGAGGTGGAGGTGGTGGTGTTGGTGGTTGTAGTTGGTGTTGGTGTGTAGTAATGCGATGCGATAGTCTTCTGTAGTAAAGTCAGTAAATCGTCCTTTCGTAAACGGAGTAGTAATTGTATGCGCACTGTAATCTCAGCGCAAACAATCAATGGTTTTGTATAACGCGGTCGTGGTGGTGTCCAAGCTCGCTATCGTCCAAGCAACACTCAGTAGTCAAGTGATGGTATCCTGGAAGCAATCGAATGACCAAGGATAGCGATAGTAGTACGAAGGAACTCGAAAAGTACAAGTGTGTGTGTGTGTGTGTGTGTGAGGGGAATGAGTTAATAATATCAGCGAGGAAATCTGCAAGCCAAGTCGTAGTCCATTCTGCAGGTGGCATGCAGGCACTTTTGTACAGACGTGGCGGGGTGCGTGCGCCGCGTGGGTGGTTGGGTCGCGTCCATGGCCGGAGGGGCTGGCGTGGCTGGGATGCCGGCGTTACTGGCGGTGAGGCTGGGCTTGAAACGTTGGTTGACGGAGTTGATTTAATTGAGTACGTGGTGATGCGTTTGTTGAGGGAAGCTTGTTTTTTGCAATTCGATTCAGGGTAAAGTGAGATGGAGTTTGTGGTCGATCATCGGGGGGACGGGGAAGGCGCGCGGTCAGGTATTCTGGGTCTTGGCGCGTTCGGGGCGGGAGAGCGATCTGACGGTTCGGTCTTGCGACGACTTCACCACCCCTTTTGTGACTTCATGATGAGCTGTATTGTCGTCGCCGCCAAACATGCGCACATCACGATCCGCTACCCCGACGATTCGCCGCGCAACAGTTGCGAATCAGCTTCATCTGGTACCCCGACGGCCTTTGATGACTCTGGCAACGAGCTGTTCACATAAGAACTCTCGACCGGCGCTACTGTCCACGTAATCCTCTTTTGCTTCTCTTCCGACAACGTCCACAGTTGAGTTCATGATTAGAAACTCATGCTTATAATTGTTGCATGTGGTGAAGGTCGCGATCAGCAAAGTGGTATTTCCCGTCTCTCAGGTGAAGTTATCTGGTTCGCAAGGTGAGTGCCGTCAAGTACACTCCGGAAGGCGATGCATCAGCGGCTAGGTAGTAAGTGAGAGGCAAATCATCCCCGATGTTAGTATACTTAAGCCTCTCATTCTTTTTCCACTCCTCAGACATTATCCTTCCTTACCTCCTCTACATCCGGATCGACATCAGAGTCGGACAACAGTATGCCACCCAAGAGAACCCATGCCGAGATGTCGGCTACAGGAAACGAACCGCCTTCGCTTGATACTTGTCCGCAAGGAAAGCATCTGGTCGCTTTGTGAGTGGCTTTGGTCTTCCCCAAAGTTCACTCGACTAAACCGTTTTTGACAGTGCACAACGAACGGATATACTCATCAAGATATGTGTACACCCTACGAACGCCAGCTCCGGTTCCGTTTACGTGCCACGTGAGCTGCTACGTTCTGTCTATCGCCCCGACCATAGCGAAGAATACCGTCGGTCCAAGTCTGGAGAATTGGAATTATTGGTCCCCGGACTGTACTGTTCCGAGGTACTTGGTCTATTCGTACAGTGGCTCTACGTTGGAAAGTACACCGAGCTGGGTGGTCTAGTCATTGCATTTAATGAATCCCCGATTCCGAACCTGACCATGTACAACACCGACAGGAAAGACACAATGGAGTGGGCAGTCAAGGCTGCGATACTGGCTTGGCTCTTGGGCGACATGCTACAAATACCCGGGTTTCAGAACTATGCTATGGAACGCCTCCTTGCCGCTCTTGCACGCAAGTCAAAGCAGCCACAACTCACATTAGCCTTGTGTTTGTTTGTTTGGGGATATACAGACTCTAGCGACGTTCTAGATTGGGTGCTGATGGACTTGGTCATCCGGAACTGGGGTGATGCAGCCGTTGTTGATCTGGCAGACTTGGACTCATGGTTTTCTTTCATAAGCGACCAGCCGTCCGACACCAGGGTCAAGTTCATGGAGGGGACGCTCATGTCACTTGAAAAACGTCGTGAGAAGGTCTTGGTGGCGAAGGAGTATCTCGTCTGAGTACCTGAGAGCACGGACGAGACATCAGCTTCGGGAAGATGAGGACGGACAAAAGCAAGACATGGTAGTCGCTTGGGATGGGAACTGGAACAAAAGTACTTTACATCATCCGGATAAGTCCATCGTACCTGGACACTAGATTCATGTCCGGGGCCATTTGCGTTACTTGATTTGGTTACCTCATCACTATGAATTCAGCATCTGCTACCTTCTTCTCCTGAACTTCGCTTCCGAGCCGCCCGTCTTGGCTACTAGTTCCTTTCCAGCCTAGGTCTTCGTCTATGCGAAGTAGCCTTGGGTACCATCTGTCTCGATGAAGCCATCGATCACAATTGCCATATAAATAGCCGGTAGCCCAGACATGTATTGTAACCCGCTTCCGATATCTCTTTTTGCCTTCCCTCAATGCTCCATAGTCCCATCAGCCATGAATGTCGAACGCTGCATCAGCCTTCACAACGAAATCGTACGACACGGCTGGGTCGGCTCAGGACGGTCCCCAGATACCCTCGCCTCGCATAGCAAATCCTGGTTCGAAGTATTTGGCGATGAAGCTGAAGTCGAACGGTCTGCACTCTCACCCGACCTAGTCCAATTCCTCGAGCACCGGAAAAAGGAGGGAGACATCGAGAAGAGTGGCCTAAGTATTCGAAGAGTACTGGGAACACGCGCCTTGGGTTTTCGTGCCGTACAATGAGAATATGCTGAAGCACAACCTCGATGTGTTGGAGAAGCTCGTTGACGCGATTGAGAGCCGCATGCCTACAGCGAGTAGATCACAAGCAACCGACTCACCTGCATATGGCCTGTTGGACGACAACATACGTGACACAATAGACCTCCCTCAGCGATTCGCATTCAACTTCCTATTCCGCGCCCGCCGGCCTCGCTTCAAGATGATAGCTCCCGGTCTCCGCATTATCCCATCCGCAGACTTTCCGGACCAACCCTTCCGCTCCTACATGTCCAAAGACAAAGAAGAAGTGCCACCCGTACTACTCTTCCAGTCCGACCTAAACTTCTTCGAAGACCCAACCTGGACTCCGCAAAGTCCAGACGACGCCATGGTGCCGAACTTCTTCGACTACCGCGATATCAAGACTTACCCTTCTGGCTTGTACCTACTGCCTACTAATCACAGGAGTTTGGAAGATGGGATCTCATGCGTCTTGCCGTACGCTATTGGTGGGAAAGGGTTTGCGAGGCGAGGCGATGGAACAGATTTCGCGGGTGGAGAGGAGTGGCGTGGGAGAGATAGCTTCACAGAGTTGTATCAGCCTGGAAGACGGGCGCTTGAAGAATTTCAGGCGCAGAGTCTGGCGGGGGTGTTGGAAAGTTGGCTGGGTATGGTGGAGAGGGGGGATTGGGAAGTCGATGAGAATGGGGTTGTGGGTCATATGGAGACTTGGAGGGAAGCGGATACGGAGGAGGGGTGGAGGAAGTATGTTATATCGAGTGAAGAACCATCTAACTCCGACTGGGGTTGGTATACATAGGAAGAGACCTTCTTCTAAGGCAGAGATGCTTCAATAACAACATCCAACGCATCCTCATGAATCCAAATGCCCTCAATCTTGAGTCCCAACGACTCGATTAACTCGCGAAATTGCGACTCCGTTCGCTCTTGACCAGAAAGTGACTGCATGACATTGACATCCATGGCCGTAAACGCCCACGGTGCGTTCCGATCGGGTATGAGGAGCTCTTTGATGAGAAGCTTGGAGTAACCAGGCTTCATAGCGAAGACGATATTGCGCAGGATGCGGCGACATGCGTCATCGCTACTGAAGTCATGGAGAACGTGTTGGAGCATGTATGCTCTCGCGCCTTTGAAGAACCGTTAGTGCCTTATACGTAGGATTGTGATGCCACCGTAGAGACGTACCTTTGATCGGCTGAACCTCATTCCAGTCCCCAACATGTGCTTCAAATCCATCTTGCTCACTCCGATCAACAATATGCTTCAACTCCTGCAGCACGAGTCGACCTTTGACATCCTCCCCAAGCGCTTTCCTCAACAGACCCAGATCACCCGCATCGCCGCCTCCAATGTCAACGAGTAGCACCTCCTCGTCAGACACAGGTCCACCTTCCACTAAACGCTCTCTGAACGGGTAGTACCCATCTTCCCAAAAGAAAGGTTTACCAGCGTTGTACATCTGAATCATTCCGCCGAATCGCTCCCCCATCGCTGCGTCTTCGTTGAAATACGTGTAAAGCGATTTGTTGGAAAAGCCATGGGCGTGTTGAAATGGGCCGTTGTTGATATTGGATGGGTTGCAGTGAGAGATTGAGTCAAGGAATGAGGGGACGCGCCAGCCTACGTTGTAGAAGTCGTCGAACCTGTTGTGGGTGTGGTATGAGTATTGAGACGTATGTATGTGCGTGAGAGTATGAGTTTGGGGCTTACATGAAGTGCACAGCATTTTTGAATGACTTTTGTCTCAAAGAAGCTGAGAGGCGAGTGCTTGCGTAGGCATCATGATCGACTTCGCGGATCGTGCCGTTTGCTGCTAGATGGCGTAGGAAGCGTGCTGTACGTTCTTCATTAGTATCACTTCATGAGACAAAGATTTCCAGTCCCTCCAAATAGTTCCGCATGCCAATCTTGAGGGCATTTGTTATAGTTTGCGATAGTGCACACATACCAACCAACCTTGCATCCGCCCCCGCACCCTCAGCAATCCGCTCACACGACACCTCCTTCTCCCCAACATCACCCAACGCTTCGAAAACTCCCCATTGCAAAGCGAGTCGAATAGCGAGATAATGTCCAGGCTGAATGCATTCCGTCCGTGGTTAGCGCTAATCGACCAAATGCAGTAGCCACAACCCCGCAAACCCAGCAAGACCACCACGACCCAGGAGACGTACCTCATTAAACGTCACCCGGAAGACAGCTTCATCCGGTCTTTCCAACTCGTTTCTGAGCGCTTCGGCTAGACCGCTGAGTTGGAGGCGCTCGGTGTTGCTGAGTTGAGCGCGGAGGGTTGGGGCGGCGGCTAGGAGGGTTTTGAGTTGGGAGAGGGCGTTGGACTCCATGATATGCGGATGGTAAAGAAGGAGAGTAAGTTTCGTGAGTAGATTTGACTGACGTTGACGATGATACGACATCTATGATAGATATGCCGGCAGAATGCAAGTAGCCAAGAAGGCGTATCGCGCCTGCCATTCCAGGTCAAGCGCGGGAAGGCAGGAACGGTGGGGTGCATGATTTTGCTCATATGCGCCAGGGGTATACTTGGGAGGCTGACGACGTTTGTATGGTGACCTTGATGAGTTGAAGAGAATGTGATGGTGGGCTCGCTGATCTGGATTGACAATTTCACATGGGCATCGTCTACACCCCGCCCACTAGGCTCGCGATCTTTCCCTTCTTTCTCTCCAACCGTGCCCTGTCCATCTTCCATTGACCCCAGCAGCATGCCAATCCAAAGATTATTGAGCCTCTGGGAGGAGGAAACCGTCCGTAGAGGGCTCGCATCTGGGAGTGACCGAAGAGTCGAGCTAGCATCGTCGGTTACTTCTGAAAGAACTAGGTTGTCAGTGAAACTTTCCGTATCTAGACAAGCTAGTTGTACCTTTTTTGGGGTGATGTCGGACCGTGGACAGGAATGAGAAGCAGTTGTGTAACGTGGGTTGATGAACAGATAAGTCGTAGTTGTCGAAGAGTGAAAGTAACGCCGTTTAATGTCGTTTGTAATGGAGAGAAGCGAAAAATGAATGTTATACACGGCGACATATATATGGTGAAAGAAACGTTTGGCTGTATATACGTGACGTGGTAGCGATAGAACATAGCCGTGGTTGTGGTAAGTCAGACCCACTTCATGTGTGCGGTACCACCTTCACCCAGCTCCTCGAGCTCAAAGACAGCATGCCAGTATGCCATAACCATATACATTAAGAAAAAAGGGTATATACAACCACTTTGCGTCCTCCAAAGCTTCCGAGCTTCTAACAAAGAGTAGCTCAACACTATACAAAAGCTCTCATCTCAATCTCAATCCCCAAGTAACACCAAAACGCCATCCTTTTCCTGAATCTTCCTATCCGTGCCATCTTATCCCTTTCTTCTTCAGCCATTCAATGCATCTCATCCACCTCACTGATAAAACCTCCACTTAACCTCCTTACACGCCCACTCCTTCTTAATCCCATTAATCCTCTCAACCTCCCACCCACTCGTCCACTCCTCATCCCCGACCTTCCCACCCAACCGAATCACCTTGCTGAGATGGCACTCTCCCTCCCCCTTCGCCGTATACCGCCATTGCAGACAGTCTTCGACTTCTGAGCAGACAGCCTGGCAGCGCTCAGAGCTATCTGGTGCATCGGGATGTTTCTCGGCGAGCTTGTCCCAGTTTGGTGGTTCCTTTTTGTCTTCCTTCATATCCTTGCCTTTTTTATCGTCTTTCTTGTTGTCTTTCTTGTCTTCGCGTTTGGAGATGCTGTTCGAGGTGGGGAGGGCGCCGGCTTCTTGGAAGACGCGGGAGTCGGGGGGTGGGGCGGTGTCGAGTTTGAGTTTTGGGGGGTCTTTCTTGTCGTCTTGCTGGGTCTTGTCTTCTTCCTTCGGGGTTTCCTCTTTCTTGGCATTGTCTTGCTCTCCCTTCTCTTTCTCTTTCTTCTCGGCATCCTGCTCCTCCTTCTCCTTCTCCTTCTTCGCAGCGTCGTCTTTGAGCTTTTGCCGACGTCCTTCTGGTGCAACGATCTTCGTGTCTTGACTGAGGTTGTCCCAGCCCACCTTTTGCGTTTCGATGTGCGGTTCCACTGAATCGTGATAGGCGTCGCGGTACAAATATGGCTTCTTCCAGCCATTCGCGGTGGTCCACTTCTTCTCAATATCCCACTGCCTCGTGAGTTGGTCGCCGCCAAGGTGATTCCATGACACGGCAGGAGCACACCAGTGCTTCCTGGTGTAATCAAGTGTACTTGGCTGCTCACTCTGGAGAAGTGGCCACGAAGCGTAGAATTCCACGTGTGCGTCGCCAAGCGCCTTCGCTAGCATCAAGTCGCCGCAGCATTGCTCGCCGTTGTCCGGTTCCCACTTGGTTGCGTAGAGCTCATCGTAAGATTTGGAGTACCGTCGCAGTGCACCCTGAGACATCATGATGCCTGCTCCGCGTTGCGCTACCTGTGTACCTGCGATGTAGTAGGGCGCTCCACTGTAGTACGGTATCCGATAGTCCAGCCTGTTCAGCCATTGTAACAGGTTCGTCCAGCTCAGACTCGTGTCGGCTTCGATGAAGACAAAGAACTTGGCACTGGGGTTCATGTGGTACGCCTTGTACACCATGGGCAGGAACTTCCACTTTTCCAGCTCCTCCAGCTTCTTCATGTCTGGCTTATGCTCCGCATCAGCATGCATGAGCTGGTATTCCTGGAATTCTTGGTGTTTGAACTTGGTCTCGCCGCTTATGGAATCGAGCGCATCGTGTACTTTGTGCCCTTGGAATTCGCCGGCGTGGTCGCTGAAGATGGCAAAGGTGGGAACGCAGGCTAGCAGATTGCTGAGGTGGCTGTTGAGCTTTTCGATTTCGGCTTTCGATGTCTTGAGGACGACCATGACGTCTTTCGCTCCGTCGGCGTCGTTGCAGAACTTCTCGACTGCGTGTGTAGGAATGGCGGCTTCGGCGGGCTTCGTAGTTGCAACGTCCGGCTTAGCCGCAATCGGAGTCTTCGACGCAGGTATCGCCTCGGTGGCTAGTGTTGTAGGCGCTTCCATTGCGCCTGAGCCCGTTATGCTCCCAGACTTATCACCACCCTTCAACTTTTCTTTATCCTCCCATCTTCCGCCATCTTCCTCATACTCCGCGACACCCGTCCCTGTAGGCGCGGGTGGTGTTGTCTTTCCCTTTCCACCTTGCGCTCCCTTATCGTCCCATCTGTGATCATCTGTCTCCTTCGGATGATCGCCATGTGCTATCGGCGTGGATGTCGCGTGCGGAGTCTCGATGACAGGCGGCGGTATTATCGGTTCGGTATGCACATTCTTGTGGTCGTAGTGGTCGATGACGGGTATCGTGGGCTGGGGCGTCTGTTGCGGCAGGCCGAAAGTCCAGAAGAAAGTCAAGAGCGAAAAGGAGACGATGATGATGGCGAGCCGTGAGGGGGTGATGAGCGGCATTGCGGCGATAGGGCTTCAACCGCCAAAGTTGGGATTTGAGGTTTGGTTGAGATTATTTTAGGGCATTGAATTAGACAAAGTCTTTGAGTGAAAATAATCAAGTCATGGTGGTTGCAATCGCCAAAGTCGCGAATGCCCCTCTGAGCGATGATCCCGGGAATGATGGATGGATGAGGCGGTGGCTCTCACCCCTTGGCTGTGGCGCTCGGTCTAGCAGGCGCGCCGGAAGACGCGCTATCACGACGCTTGACCTGCCCAACTCCATTTTTCGGTCTTCGATGCTGACGCAGATGCTTGCTTTTGGAAGAACAACTAGAGACTTGAAATCGTATCTACTACACTACTGTATTATGCAGGGGCTTCTGACAG